TCTTCATACACTGCCAAAAAGGTTAGACCAATTAAGCAAGCCGAACCAAGCAGGTGGCACAGGGAACTAAAAAAATTTGCCAATCTAAATAACAAAGAATTTACAATTTCAGTACCTGGCTTTAACTCCAATGACCAATTTATTATTGCCAATTTAATTAACAAACATCTTTCTAGTTTCTCACAGCTACAGGATCCAATAAAAACTGAATGTTTACCGGCATATTTACCTAGCCCAGTGCCACCTCCCTGCTTCAAACCATGGGAAATCTATGAAGACTTGCGTAAGACCAAGCTGAGTAAAGCGGGTGGACCAGACAACATCCCTCAAAAGGTATTAAAAGAATGTGCTTATGAACTAAGTAAACCAGTTACTGATATAATAAATGCATCCTTTTCCTAAGGTGTGGTCCCCCTGCAGTGGAAATGTGCTAATGTAATACCCATTCCAAAGGAACATCCAGCCGCCATTGATAAGCTAAGACCGGTATCTCTCACTCCCACCTTGGCTAAAATTGCAGAGAGTAAAATTGCTAAACTAGTAAATAAAGCACTAAAACCTGTTTTAGACACTCGCCAGTTTGGAAATCAGAAGCGTGTGTCGGCTACACATTGTTTAATTGATATTTATCATCACATCTTGAGTGCGTTGGAAAAGCCTGCTAGTACCAGCGCCCTGGTTCTGACTGACTTCTCCAAGGCGTTCGACATGATAGACCACAATGTAGCCTTCAGGAAATTGAGCAAATTGAACATCCCCCCTTGCATCCTTCAGTGGATTGTTGATTTTATCACTGAACGGAAACAAAGGGTATATTATAAAGGTATACACTCTGAATGGTTAAAGCTCACTGGAGGGGTACCACAGGGAACTATACTTGCAGTAGTTATTTTCCTTGTAATGATAAATGACTCGCTTGAAAACACTGCCTCACTAAATATCGAAGCGTGGAAATATGTAGATGATCAGTCACTTGGTGAATCCCTGAGGGTTGGAAACCCTAGTAGACT